GTAGAATTTTTTATTTTTTATTTTTTCCTTACTCAAATCTGAATATTTATCATCTTTTCACCTTTGCTAGAGTCATGTGATCCTTCAGAAATCTTATTGTATTTAACTTGCTTATTTACTATTATTGCTTCTTATTTTTTAATTGATAATTACTTTCATTATTCAGGACAAACTTTGCAATTATGGTCTTACTGTACTTTAATGCATATTTATTGCAATATTTAATTTGCTCTAATTCTGAAGATGCAGAGCCTTAAAGTCTTAAATTGTCTGAAATATCAAAAACAAATAGGCCTTAAAGTCTTAAAGCCACTGAAATATTGTGTTGTAGGTCTTAAATCATTAAAAACAGGTTTTAATTTGCCTATATTCACGTAAAGCTACTCAATCGGGCTAACACCCATCCAATCACCAACAATCTATCTCAATAAATGTTTTAACAAAAGTAAAAGTAAATTTTTTTTAACTCTATTAACCAGTGAGGTTTAATTATCTTCCTTAAAATAGCATTTAATTTTAATGGTTTCTTGATATTTTTATTTGGGTCACTAAAAATCCGTAGCGTTTAGCCTTGTGTAAGTCTGAAATTTAATTCATAGTGGTCTTAAACAGGTCTTAAAAGCCTTAAATTTGATTTGATGAAACCTGTTGTGGGAAAAAAAAAGTCTCTTTCGCTCACTGAGACTGCATTTGTTTGCTCTGTAACACAATAGCAACAGTAATATTGTATAATATTATTTATTTATTTTAATCATGAACATAAGCGGTGTTATGTTGAAATGTCTGTCTATAGTAATGTTATAATAGTCTTTACTCTTTAGTCTTATCACTTTTTTATTTTTACATTACATGAATCCTTAATAATAATAATATTAATAATAATAAATTATTTACTTACCCATAACATTTAAAAATTGTATAATTAGAACAACATTAGCTGAGCTAATTCTCTTAAAATTAAATTAAGTGAAGTTTTTATTTGCTAATTTCGAGAGGATGATTGTCTCTCATCTGCAATCATCTAAAAACAAGTCAGATTAATCCAAGCCTACAATAAATTGCCCATAAGTTATTAACTCTATTTACCAATGAGGTTTAATTATCTTCCTTAAAGTAAAATCTGTTTTTAATGTTTTTTTTAAGTTTTAACTGGGTCATTAGAAAATATCCTTAGCGTTTAGCCTTGTGTACGTCTGAAATTGAATTCATAGTGGTCTTAAACAGGTCTTAAGTCTTAAAGTTGACTTGCTAAAACTTTTAGAAACCCTGTTCTGGTAAAGAAAGTGTCTTTCGCTCACTGAGACTGCATTTATTTGCTCTGTAACACAATAGCAACATTAATATTGTAGAATATTAATTATTTATTTTAATCATGAAAACATAAGTAGTGTTATGTTGAAATGTCTGTCAACTGAAATATTATAAACATCTATCACTTTTTAATTAAATAATTAATTAATCAATTAATTAATTATTTTTTCTATTGCATGAATCCTTAATAATAATAATAATAAATATCTTACTAACCCATAACATTTGAAGATTGTGTAATTAAAACATTAGCTGAACTAATTGGCTTAAAATCAAATGAAGTGAAGGTCTTATAAGCTAATTTCGAGAGGATGTTTGTCTCTCATCTGTAATCATCGATAAACCAAATTGATTTATCCAAGCCTACAATAAATTGTCCATTTCACCTTACTTCCCTTATCTTAATTTTTGAAGAATCCCCCCGTCCACCCCATGTCCTCCTTTTCCTTTTTATATTTCTTTTTTTTTAACCAGGGGGAGCTCTCAATAACTACCTAATCTTGCATCCCTGGGCTTAATTATCCTGGGCCTTATTATCTCAGAGCTCAGGGTTCTCTCCCGGGACAGCATGCCAAACCTGCTAATAGTGTCAAGCAATATATGTGTGAATTCTTGAAATGATTTTTCATGGCACTTTGGCTCAAAGTTGAAAGATCTGCATCAGATCAATTCCATACAAATGTCAACCATGATGTGAATAAAATTATGTTTTCATTAAAATAGCGAAAGCCTTTGTACATTTTACTTTTTACAGTACTGTAAAATACTCAAAAATTTCTCTGTCAGTGTTTCCAAACAATTATATTTGATTTACCAAAGTCACACAAGTGGCAATTTTACATCTCACATCCAGTACTAAGAGATCCATCCATATTGACGCATCCATATTCAAGCTTTTTCTTCAAAAATGCATAAATGTCAAATAAAATCATTGATTTTTGTTCTATAGTGGGACGACTCTTATCCTTTTGATTAGCATTGTTTCTTTTGGGTTGTGCAATTTAATTCACAGAATTTCTTCAAGGTATGTTGTATACTGTAAACTCGCTAACTTTTTTTGGTCACATCCATAACGCATGTTTATTTTCCTCATTTAAAATACACTCACTGGCCACTTTATTGGGTACTCCTGTCCAAATGTTGGTTAATGCAAATTTCTAATCACTGGTTTGAGCTGATAGAAAGGCAACAGTTACTCAAATAACCACTTGCTACAACCAAGGTATGCAGGAGAGCATCTCTAAATCCACAACACGTCCAACCTTGAGGTGGATGGGCTACAGCAGCAGAAGATCACACCAGGTGCCACTCCTGACAGCTAAGAACGGGAAACTGAGGCTAAAGTTCACACAGGCTCACTAAAATTGGACAATAGAAGATTGGAAAACGTTGACTGGTCTGATGAGTCTCGATTTCTGCTGCAACATTTGGATGGTAGGGTCAGAATTTGGTGCTATTATCATGAAAGCATGGATCCAACCTGCTTAGTATAAACAGTTCAGGCTGGTGGTGGTGGTGTAATGGTGTGGGGTATATTTTCTTGGCACACTTTGGGCCTATTAATACCAATTAAGCTTCGTGTCAACACCACAGCCTACCTGAGTATTGTTGCTGACCATGTCCATCCCTTTATGACCACAGTATACCCATCTTCTGATGGCTACATAGGAGGATAATGTGCCATGTCATAAAGCGTGAATCATTTCAGACTGGTTTCTTGAACATGATAATGAGTTCACTGTACTCAAATGGCCTCCACAGTCACCAGAACTCAATCCAATAGAGCAGCATTCGGATGTGGTGCAATGGGAGATTCGCATCATGGATCGCATCACGTGCAGCTGACAAATCTGCAACTGCAGTTTGGAACACAATCTCTGAGAAATATTTCCCGTACCTTGTTAAATTCATGCCACAAGGGTTTAAGGCAGTTCTGAAGGCAAAAGACGGTCCAACACGGAACTAGTAAGGTGTACCTAATAAAGTGGCCGGTGAGTGTATGTTTACAGATTGATATTTTTCTGATCCCATAACTCTATGGTGAGTAGTTTTGGAAAATATAAGCAGATGTTTCAATATTATATCGAAATGTACTTTCTCCGTGTATTATTGTTTTAAGTATTCACTTCAAATGACACATCCATAATGCTGGAACTGCTCATCAGTCTTATTTGAAAGTAGACTAGACTCAAGACTTTCCTCGATTATCAGACTGTAAATAAACACATGCTTCACGAGAGCGTCTGGTTTCCCTTGCAGACGGTTGTTGTTGCGAACCATTTGTGTTAAATATATCATTGACAACTGGGCGTCTCAATGGCCCTACTGTTTTACACACTCTCCTGCTGCTCTCAGCATTCGGTGGTCTAGAAACATCAATCATACAATAAACAGTGCAACGGTTAATGTTATTGGGCCTCCGTCTTTCCAGGGAACGTGAAAGACTCTTCGCTGAAGAGTGAGAACATCTGCTGGCCTAAAATTACACCTGATAGCCCTCAGCTCGTTGTCGTTGAAAACCGACGACTTAATAGGTTGCATAAATGGAAATTTGGTCTCATGGCATACCAGTGCCAGTCACTAAATCTTGCTGAATTTTTAGTTGACGTTTCTTTAGGTTGCTGCTTTTTTAAGTGCAGCAGAATCTGGCTGATTTTGTGCAGTGAACTAAGGGTTTGATGGTGATGATGAAATTTTACTTTCCATCAGATTTAAGGTCCAGGGCATGAGAATGATGTACTTAAAATACACATACACTGAAAAAATGATTAATTGGATTTACTTTTTAACTTTTTTTTTATTTACATGGTTGCGAACAGTTTATATGGGCTGAATTTAAATAAACAAATTAAGTTGAACATACTAAATTTAATTATTTTGTTTAACCAGTTAAACTCTGCTGTTATTTTGGGATTTCCGCCTGGATTTTGCCTACCCAAATTTAAAAGCTTTCCAAATTCACATTCAGAGGTGTAAATGCAAAAATTTGGTCTTATTTAAAAGAAAACCCTTTGAACTTTCATAAAACACTATTGAAAGTGTTTAAAATAACTGTATATGTCGTCTGTATTAAAATAAACACCTAAATAAAGAGGCGCTTTTTGTATTTTCCAACATTCTTTAAAATACCTTCTTTAGTGTTGAACAGAAGTAAGACACTCAAACAGGTTTGAAACCACTTGAGGAGTAGTCAGTGGTGAATAAATGTAATTTTTTTATTAACTTAACCTTTTTTTTATTATCTTTTTATTTTCTCGATTAGTCTTACACTTGCATCAGATACATGTCAGAGATCATACATCTGAATACACTCAAATATAAACACAAATTTTGCATATCCACTTTCTTTTCCAGCAATATTTACTTTCCTCTGTGCGCATGTAAACCTGTGTTAACCACAAGAATAAAAAGAAAGGAATATAAATAAATAAATAAACATTAAGGTTAAGGGGAGAAAAAAAAAAAAAAAAATATATATATATATATATATATATATATATATATATATATATAATTATATAGACTAACCCTTTAAGGGGCTTTAACACCCTTTTCAGCTAAAATTAATAGTTTTAATCTTTTCGTTTACTCTCCTTTTGTTTTTAAATATGTATAATATCATTTTTTGCTATTCTAGTTATTATTCATGGCATTTCATTTTTAAATACTTTATTTTTATTTTTTGTCAGCAACTGGGTGTTGGACAACTGGCACGAAGAACTGTGGGATATCGACTGCTTCCACCATGGAACCTGCCAGATCCGAAATGAGTATCCTACCCAATGGAAAAGGCCATGACTTGGGGGAGGAAATGTGTGTGCCGATGAAGACCATGATGGAGGAAGAACAGTAAGCACTTTTTTGCATCACTTTAATGATTGGGTTTCATCTGCACTCAGTGGTTTTAAGTGCCATGCATCTGTGAGATCCAGTGGTGGAATAAGTACTGAAAGGTCATACTCAAGTAAAAGTTATTTGATTACTTTAGTGAAGTATGAGTAAAAGTAACCCATCTGAATGTACACAAGGGTAGTGAGTAGTAAATTGCTTTCAAAATAATTCCACCATATACCCTGCAAACTAAAAATGGTGGTATTTTCTTTTAAAGGTGCTTCTAAGTGCAAGTTAAATTGTTTGCCATTCATGTACTATATTTTAAAATGTGAGATTAATTTATTGTGAGAACACATTACATTAATATATACACCTATAATAACCTGACAGAAATCAGGAGGAAGTGTTTACATGCGGAGTAAAATCTGTAAACCCAAAAAATGAACAAAAAGCAGCAAAATTCTAGCTGTGAGTACATTCATTCATTCATTCATTTTCTTTCGGCTTAGTCCCTTATTTATCAGGGGTCACCACAGCAGAATGAACCACCAACTATTCTAGCATATGTTTTGCACAGTGGATGGCCTTCCACCCACAACCCAGTATTAGGAAACATCTGTACACATTCATTCACACACACACACACACACACTCCTACACTATGGCCAATTTTGTTTACTCAATTCACCTGTAGTGGATGTCTTAGGACTTTGGGGGAGAACATGCAAACCACACAGAAATGCCAACTGGCCCAGCCAGGACTTGAACCAGCGACCTTCTTGCTGTGAGGCGACAGTGCTAACCACATATTTAACTGAGGCATATTTAAATGTCAATGTTAATATGTTCTAAATCACATAATTGGTAAAAAAAAAAATTGTCAATTAACCCATTTTATCAATTATAAATGAATAGCAATGTTTTTCATGTGTGTTGGTGCGATACTTTGTAGGGTGCAATTTACCATAATTGCCTCTACAGAGCTCGAAATTAACCTTTTTGCTTGGTAGCACCGGTGCTCCTAACTTTAAAAATGTAGGCGCATCAGCCAAAATTTAGTCGCACCCACCAATTATAAGCACCGTTACTACAAGTTTAATACAAACATATTAATTGTATTTGAAATCAACACTAATTAAACTAACAAGCAAAAAAATTCATATATAACGTTATATTCAAGCTTGAGGAAAATATGTCTCAACGAAATCCCGTTATCACAAGAAAATACATTTTTCTAACATAACTGAGTGACCAAAGCATACACGGAGCGCTCGCACGCACTGCTTAAATTAATGTGTTAACGGTATAACTGTGCTGTTCTCACAAGTGCTGTCTGATATTGCACTGATGCTTTTGACATGTACTGTACCTTATTATATGCATACATGTTAATAGCAATACCGTTTTTTTTATGAGTAGCGATGTTAGTTTGCTCAGTGCAAGCCTGTTTGCAATGGTGTACGTGGTGTTAAATTTGACATATAGCTGCCACTTGCACGGCGGACAGCATCTGGTGATTATATAAAGCATTAAACAAAACCTCTCGTGCTAGATGTGGCAAACAGTTACCTGAAAATTCCATCCCAAAGACTTTTCATAGCGGACTTGAAGCCAATGGAAGTCTTCTACTCTTAGAAAAGTGTAGATGGTGGATTAACATTCAGCACATGATCACTAGTAAGATATGTCATTATTTGTAACTGTAGATGCCATGGTTTCTAAAACAAAATCTGTCAGTGTTATTTTCATTTGCATCTTCAGCGCTTTACCATTTTTCGCGGTAGTAGCTTTCCCTGTCATCCGAAGCCAGAAGGCACTGAGTGATTGACAGCTGAAATTAACCAATCGTTCACGTTCAGTGCTAGAGCAGTGGTGGGCCAATAAGAAGAGCGCGAAGGAGGGGCAAGCATTATTGACTTGGATTTGTTTACTGCAGCAAGTTGACATGACAACTGTTTTAAACCATTCCTGAGCGCTGCGTTTCGCATTTCAAGTGCAGACAAAGAGCTTAGAGATGCATTCTGCGTGAATGTCTCGCGAATCCGCACATGTGGTGAACATTTTCGCACACAACAATTTTAAGCACTCGCAGAAATGCTCCCAAATATATTTTAAGGTCGCATAGATAAAATTTCGGGCGCATATGAGACCAAAATGGTCGCAATTTCGAGCCTTGCTTTAGAAGTCGCCAATGAAAACAAAACAAACACACACAAGAAATACACGTACGCCAGACATGAGGTTAGCACGGACCAACGCACATTCTCACATCAATTTCATCATGAGTAAATCCAAACGTGAGCGTGAACCTGGCGTAGGCAAAGTTTTTGTGTGTACGCAGCGTTTGAGACTCCTGGGGCCTCATGTACGAAGACTTGCGTGGAAATCTTACTAAAACATTGCGTACGCACAAAGCTGTAAATGTGCGTACGCAGAAAAAATTTCAGATGTATGAAACACTGCGTACGCCGAATCTCACGCATATTCTTTTGTACATCTGAATGAACGTGAAACTGAGCGCAACATGCACGAGCACAAAACCCCTCCCTGCCTCCTCCCCCGTATGAATATGCTAATGACTATGCTAATGGCAAAACCCAACGAAAAAGCAATGGCAAAAGCAAGCAAAAAGAGAAACTTTGAACAGAATGTGAATTGGAGGTGCTGCTTTCGGAGGTAGACCGGAGAAAAGCGGTGTTATTTGCAAGTTTGTTTTCCGGAATTAACAATAAAAGAAATAAATAGAGCGGGAGAGTTTAGCTGATGCGGTTAACACAGTTGGGTCTGAACATCGCACTGAGTGCATTAACAAAAGAAATATTGTGGTTTATATCTGTAAAATGTTGCAGGATGGTTAACAGTCTCAGTGGCGCTACTCGTAAGACCCATGTGAACAGGAATTGATGCGTTCGAGCATGAACTCGGCTCGAATCCAGCGTCTGATGAACTCTTTCTTGTTTTTTCCCCGCTACATATCAGATTTTGCCCACTATTTATCACGAGAAAGACGTCTTTATAGTGTCTTTATAGCAATGTGCGTGCGGTAGATTGCTCAGATTACATTGGGCTGCCATTGCCATTGCAAGGCTTAGACACTTTGTAGAGAGGAATTTAACACAACTGCCTCTAGGAGTCGCCAATGGAAATAAAACAGACACGCACAAAAAATGTGCGTACGCCAGCCAGAAAGCTGCCGTGAAGCTGCGCACATTCCCATGTTCAGTTCATTGTTAGTAAATCCAAATGTGAGCGATTCTGAGCGTGAAACCTGGCGTACGCAAAGTTTTTGTGCGTACGCAGAGTTGATACATGAGGCCCCAGGTCACTTAAAAATAAGTCACTTTTAGTCAATAATTTTTTCAACACAAATTGCCTTGATTTTATGCTTTTAAATAAAACTTGACTAGATGACAGTTGTAGCACAGCAGTTCTAAATGAAGCAGCTCCTTTAAACTTTGACTATTTGAATGTTTGCAGAGCTAATAGGAGAGGTGGAGGCATCGCTGCCCTGTTTAAAGATATCTATGAGTGTAAACAAGTGTCATTTGGTGACTATTTGTCTTTTGAATATATGAGTATAGCACTGAAAGGTGCTACACGCA